GCATGCGCCGGGAGGAGTTCAAAGATACATCGGGTAGCCGAGGTGGCCTTTAAATTCAAGGAGCTAGAAAGTGGAGGATAGAGGAAAATATGGCGACGGCTTCTCCCCCTATCTACTTTGCACCGCAGCGTAAAGAATGTCTCTCCCAATTGGGCAAATTTTGACAACTATTGTTTTTGATCATTTCTATTCCTTATTGGCGAAATTTTCGGCCCAAGTGGTTCGAATGATGGGATACGGCTTATAACATCTCGTGGACATAAAAAGAAAGTTCTTCTCTTTCTATGGTTTGGCTGCTGCAGACATCCTTTCATTTCACTCAGTTGCGTCGAGACTTGAGGGCCCGGATTTTAGTTGCTGCTTCATTAGTCTAGCAGTGTAACCATGATTTCTCCAACGATCTCTATAGAAGGGGTTGAGTTGACTTGTTTTCTCGCCAGTGAGTTGTTGGAAGTCATCTTTTGGAGGAACTCTTTTTTTTTTTTTACTGACGTCAATAGCATACGCGGGTACACGGCACAGGATTTTACTCTGATCAACTGAGATAAAATTGAGAATCAGATATCCCAAGGCCATTCGAAATCATTGATCGCCCTCTGCTCGTAGTCCATAGATACATGCGGTGTAGAAAATACATCGTAGGTCCGCCCAAACATCCGCAGTTTGTCTTTTCTTTTTCTATGCTTTGCAGCCAATCCCCACACAGACACCCTAGTCACCGGGAGTGTCCCATAGCGCTTCCGCGTTTCCAATTACGTCCCATATCTGTGCGTTTTGCCTGTCAGCCTAGCCTAGACCTCCCTCCTTGGCAATTTGGCATCTCGAAGGCGTGCTCAGATCCATGTTTCACATTCGTCCATTGTCGATTCTTGTAAAAAAAAAGCAAAAAAAAGAGAATTATAAGAGGCCAAAAAAGATATCGGGATCTCTCTGCCTTTGCCATTTTCCGCGGGGGTGACTTCTCCGCTGTCGGTGAGTATCTGTCTGCCCTAGGGGGCGGAGGCAAACATTTCCACAAGAGACATTTTATGGAGACAGGAAGTCGGACAAGGAGAAAGCCACTGCTTTCCCTCATTAACCTCGAGTCTCCACTAGCTTCCGAAGAAGAGTGGAACAGTCAACGCGCTCGGAACTTTGGGAGTCGGAAGCAGCCTCAATCTTTTCACATATCTCTGTTGATTTGTCCAGGGACCCAGTTAAGAATATCAGCCCAATCAACAATTGACTAAATGGCGTCATTCAGATAACCCAACCAACTAGCTTCCCACTTCCTTTTGATATAAAGTAGTGGAGAAAATCAGGCCCGTAGGGGCGATTTCGTCATTAGTTCCCAACTGCGTGGGAGAGGCCTGGAGCCATAAACTCACCAGACCAAGAGACTTGACTTCCGGCACCGCTCCCCGCCTCATCCACATCGAAGCCAGCGGAATAGCACAAAAACTGCTGTTCCGCCTGAGTGCGTGCCGACCATGTAGTAGCTGTACGGAGTATACACAGTGTACTTACTCCGTACAAAGGTCCACAGACAGAAAACGCTCGTTAACAGCCGCCATGACCTGGTATGTGCACAAGCCACAAATGAGCTTGGCGGGGTTTGTTCAATTGCTGACTAACCATATTTGTAATATATTATAGGCCACTAGGGCAAAAGAGCTCAATCACCACCAGCGCCGTGGTGATAGAGGGTACAGAGAATGTGTGGAGGTCACGTGCGGTAGGATTGCACCGCACAGGTGGGGCACTCTCTCCGATAAGTAATCAACGAGCATTGGTGGTTTCATACTACTTTGTTGTCTCTTAAACAACTAGTTTGTCCCATTTTCTCCTCTCCTTCTGTTTCTATTCTATCCTATTGGGAGAAGCTTGTGCTTGAAGCATTGGGATGAGATGAAACTGGGACGGAGATTTGTTATCCCGTTCCATCCCGCTCCATACTTCAATGATACATTCTGCCTGGGACAAACTTGTGCTTGAAGAATGAGACGGGATGGAACTAGGGCGGGATGGCGGGTCTACGAGTCAGTGACAACCGTGCCAGCACGTTCTTCTTCTTTCTCCCTCTCTCACACACAACCGGCGTAGGTTTACTCGCGTGATTCAAGCGTTCGAAGCACCCTGTGAACATCAACACGTTTTCCGTGCTATAACCTTAGAAGTGACCAAACTATTACTATGGCCGTGCTGTTTTGCAATATTCTAAAACTTCAATGATTTCTTTTTGTAATTTTATCTGTCGTTGCCCCAAATCACATGTTAACATGGGAAAGAGATACCCTCAGGTTCAACCCACGTCGCTCA